ATGAAAGCATGTGTCATATAATTTATCATCTATGTACTGGCCACACATAGCTAATAATTTTGCATGATAAAATCTGATGTGTGCGTACACGATTTGGAATAATTATTCATAACGATTAGATCTAACATTTTTTTTATTCTGTGCTAGTTTGATGACGCTTATGAAGGAATGTGCAGTCTTCGGAATTTTGAGATTGATAGACAGAAAGAAGAATTACCAGACGAGACTATCAAAAATAATTTGCAAATATTGAAAGGGAATCTTAAAAGAAGCAAATCTCGATATACCAAAATTTTGCGAAAGAGTGTAGGTAAGGTTAAATTCTCAGAACTTTCATGGCGTGATCCATTTGCGAGTCAGGTTCTTAGTAGTGAGATGGAGATGGTTAAGCAATTACCGGAAGAAGAATACGAATCTTTCATGATAAGAAAAAAATATCCCAATTTATAGAATAAAAAATAATGTTTGAAATGATATTACTAGGAACCGGTGAAATATATGCAAGCGTCTCTTCCTAACTCGATCAAAACAACATGTGACAAATTTTTGATAAACTATGACAATGGTTCTACGGAAATACCACTACAAAAACTTTCGCATGAAAATTGGATAGAGAAAGAAGAGGTTTTAAAAGATATTGCGATTAGAATACTTAATACATTGTAAATATAATATTATTCCATTCATAAGATTATACCATATTGATGTTCCAATACTATTAGGGGGAGATCTGGAAAAACCCAGCCTTTAGTCCTAAATTCGCTAAAACACAGAGTGAGGGAACATACGTAACAGACATTATTGTTCCTGTTATTCGAGCTACATTAAAAGATTTGCCAATTGGAAAATCTGCATATATTAGCACGTGAGTTAACTATCTCATTTTTTTCTTGGTGTTTTTTTTCATGCAGTCACATGATTTTAATTTTCTAACACTGCAGGATGGAACATCAAAGCGTGGCTAGCAAAGACAGAAGAGGAGGGAAAGGAAAGCGCCCAGACATTATGTTCATAGCGAAGCATATGG